CGGCATCAGCTGCACCCGCATCAGGTGCATCAACGCGGCACCGCGGTAACGCACGGCCAACCCGCCGCGAGCACCCACGTGTCCTCCTTGTATCCTGAGATTCTGGCACTCATCTTCAGCTACCTGGACGTACGCGACAAGGGACGAGCCGCTCAAGTATGCACCGCGTGGCGCGACGCTGCCTACTATCGCTCGGTTTGGCGAGGAGTCGAAGCGCGATTGCATCTCAGAAAACAGGCGCCAGCGTTATTCGCCAGCTTGGTAAGACGCGGCGTGAAGAAGGTACAGGTATTGTCATTGCGACGCGGCCTCAGCGACGTTCTAAAGGGCGTGCCGAATCTCGAGGCACTCAACTTGTCCGGTTGCTACAACATTACCGACTCCGGTATCACGAACGCTTTTTGCCAGGAGTACCCGTCCCTCATCGAGCTCAACCTATCGCTTTGCAAGCAAGTGACGGACACCTCCCTCAGCAGGATAGCACAGTTCCTGAAGAATCTCGAGCATCTTGAATTAGGTGGTTGCTGTAACATCACCAACACCGGTTTATTGCTGATCGCATGGGGCCTGAAGAAACTCAAGCGACTGGACCTACGAAGTTGCTGGCACGTTTCTGACTTGGGCATTGCTCATTTGGCTGGATTGAATCGCGAGACTGCCGACGGTAATCTCGCCTTGGAGCACCTGAGTTTGCAGGACTGCCAACGATTGAGCGACGAGGCGCTTAGGCACGTGTCGCTCGGCCTCACCACCCTCAAGTCCATCAACCTGTCTTTCTGCGTGTGTATCACCGATTCCGGCGTCAAACACTTGGCCAGGATGTCGAGTCTACGCGAGTTAAATCTACGCTCGTGCGACAACATCTCCGACATCGGCATGGCGTACTTGGCCGAGGGCGGCAGTCGCATCACATCGCTCGACGTATCGTTCTGCGACAAAATCGGCGATCAAGCACTCGTGCACATCTCTCAGGGTCTGTTCAACCTAAAGTCCCTGTCACTATCCGCCTGCCAGATCAGCGACGAAGGTATCTGCAAGATCGCCCTCGAGACCCTCAACATCGGCCAGTGCAGCCGGCTCACTGATCGGGGTCTGCACACCGTCGCCGAGAGCATGAAGAATCTCAAGTGCATCGACCTGTACGGCTGCACGAAAATCACCACCAGCGGCCTCGAGCGGATCATGAAGCTGCCACAGCTCAGTACGTTAAATCTTGGTCTGTGGCACGTGCGGTGATGGCTTTTTCCGTGGCTAAGTGCTCTGGACGAACGCTGTCAACGTTACCGTCATCGTCATTGGCATCGTCATCGTTACCAAGGCGACGACGACTCCTCGCAGCGATCCAAGGATAACTTCGCGCGCATGTTCCTGCCGCAGGCGGTAAGTCCGTTTCTGTCGCTCGGCGCACGAAGTCGCCCGAGCGCCCTCGACATCGGTATCTACGACGTCGTCGGCGAATAGCGTAAATAGCGAATTTAGCTCGTTTCTCCGCCCGAGACAGGAATTCCCCCCCCCCCCCCCCCTCTCTCTCTCTCTCTCTCTCTCTCTCGAGGGGGGGAACAACCGCTGGTTCTCGAGGGGCACTGTTTTTCAAGATTGGCCCAATTTTTACTCTTTAGAGTAAGATTCTATTTCAAAGAATTAGAGAGTTTATTTTCGTACTTTCAACATATGACAAAATAAACTCGAAATAATAATTAATTCGAGTTTAATTTGTCATATGTTGAAAGTACGAAAATAAACTCTCTAATTCTTTCTTTAATTCGAATCTTTAATTTAAAAATGTTATATGTCGATTGCCAACCGCATGTCGTTGATCGTAGTCTTGTGGAAGTAAGCGAGCGAGAAAATCCCAGACGCGACGTTCGTTTCCTTTTTTTTTTCCCTAAATTTTCGAGAGTCGAGCGAACCGAGAATTGAATCGAGGCATTTGATACTCTACGTCGAATCCTTCGTTTAATTAATCTAGCGATCGTCTTCGACGCGCGATGAAGTTTGATCGGAAATGCGTATGTGTTCGAAACGGTCGCTTTTTTTTCTTTTTAGAAAAGAAAACGCTCTTCGAAGGGACGTAATGCCATTTGCCTGAAAAACGGTGCCCTGAAAAACAGGCTCAGTTTTCAATCTTTAAGAGTGAGATTCCTTCGGAATGACAATTTACTCTAAAAAAAAATTTTAGAGAGAACTCTTATACTGATTGCCATGTTTGCATTACATAACACATAGGGATTACCTTTGTCATGGCAAATTCGAACTCAGCGATGCAATAATGGTTTCAATCTTTAAATTAGTTTTTTTATCGCCATTTTTTTCTTGGAACACGCGAGTTTCAACAGAAATATTAGTAATAAAAATATGACGTAATGATTAAACGTCTGTGCATCCTGAACAAAAATTATGATATGTACTTTAAGAGTACATAATATACTTTTTTTTTATTAAATAAGTTGAATTAATTCGAACATAATAAATATTATTCATTCTTCGTTTGGATGTTTCGAATATAAAACGTGATTATATTGATAATAATTCACTTATTTTTAATTATGTACTGTTATCTGTAGTTAATGACTGTGAAGTGCAATATGAAGTAGCGACGCATTTTCAACAAGTTTTCTATTTCTATTAATGAAATTGATCAAAGACTAGGTCCAGAATACAATCTTCAGAATACAACTTGAAGTCGCGGGTGCAGGTAAAGGCACTGGTGCAGATAAAGTCGGGTTTAGGTCACAGCACTAGCGAGGATCGCGGCGGCGTTACATTTGCTTATATAAACAACTTCTCTTACGGTTGCTGTTTTTCCAGACTTTCCAAAATATTTATAAGCAAATTCTAATGGAGTTTCTTGCTGTTGTAATCATACTTTGAATTATTTTTTTTTTTCTGATATACATCGATCATAACTTAATTGATCTATTTGTTCTTTAGTATGTTTTATTGTAAATTTATTGTTTAGTTTAGAATTAAAATATGTCATTATATTTATCTTTTTCCCCTATCTTAGTTTTATCATATATTAAATCAACCTTTATTAAACTTTGATTTAATGACAGCTAATTTTGGGTATTCGGTATGGAGAGCGAATTGATTGCTATTCCTCGAGGTTTTTCCTACTAGTTGTATATCTAGTAGTCATATTCTTTATAGTGAATGACTTAATTTTTAAAATGGTATTGCAATAGTTCTACACTAATTATTAGTTTTCACGAGATGGAAGTTTGGAAACGGATTGAGTCAGATGCTCGCCGTTGCAGGGAAGTTTGGGTGCAGGTCATGAACGTCGCGACGCACATGCAGATGGAGACGAGGGGATATCAAATATCCGCGGGTTAAACTCTGCGAAATTGTAATACGTTTTAACAAGACGTTTTAAAAATCGAAGCGCTTGGATTATCTCATGTGAAATAGGAATAACAGGCGAAAAATTAATTATTTTAAACAAGAGGATTTAGGGGAATAAATGATGAAAAGGGGAACTCGCTTACTTTAATAACTCTGTCTAAATTTCCATGTTCTTGTGTGCGCGTTAATAAATAAATTCAGGTGAAAGATCGCTTGAACAATCAGAGCGATTTCTATGCTCAAATCAGAATCATTTAATAACTCAGATTTATCTTCTTGAAAATTATTTACTTTAGTGACAGACTTTTGTACTGTTTTTAATAGACTTTTAATAAAAGTCTATTCATATATTTTTAGGAGCTATTCGTTTATTTTTGCCAGTGAATCATGTTTTCGGTCAATAACTCGTAGAGATTGATTTTTTCCAGCAGCTCTGCTTATTTGCAATCTCCGAAGCATTCTAGTAATTCATCTCTGTTACTAGGATGATTCCTGCATTTCTTCAGAATTTGTATTTTTTTGTACAATGAAAGGTCGCATTACAGCAACTGGAAATTTTTTTTTGTATTCACATTTTAAATGGAAGAATGAACAGAGTGTATACATACAAAGAATAAAATAAAATAATAAAAATTTTAACAAAGAAATTTAAATTTTTATATTATATATTCATAACAGAAGTTAGACTTGTTAAGAATTTTGTTGAAAGTTACAGATATAATATACAGATGTAACAAAAACCCTTCTTTAAAGAAGAAAATCCTCAAAGTGAAGACATTAGTATACACTAGTTGAGTTTGTAATGAGAAAGTTTACAGCATCATTGAGTAAAGAAGATTGATTTTTACACCCACAATATATCGAATGTGAATAATTTTCTTTAGTGATTCTCATCATACTTGAAAGAGCCCCAACTGTCCTCTTCTGATTTTGATGAGGGAAGAACGGTTGGGACCTTTATTATCATTTTGTTCTTCAGATAAAAATAAAAAATATGTATTTTTTTTATACGTGCTCTAACTCACTTTTAAAGGATAAAACACCTGTCTGAAAAAAAATGTTTTTTTTCCTCGAAACAAATATCGTTGAAACTGTAAGAGATACAAAAAACTTTTTGAAATGAAAGTTAAATGATTTCATAAGTACTTTGATATTATTAAGTACTATTAATATTATTAATTAATTATAAAATTTTTTTATTTATCCTCATCACTTTTTAAAATTTTGATTTTGGTTTTGATATAAAAAAGGTTACGTTGTGACCGTTTTCAACCAAAATATTATTATTATTATATATTTGCTTAAATAAAACTTACGGTCCCCACCCTATTTTATCTCCAATAGGAAAGGAAAAGCTGAAGGAATAATCTACCTGCTAAAATGTTGCAGATTTTTATTGAAAGTGTCAAGATTGAATGTTGTTGCAATCGATACTTAATACCCTTATTCCAAAATAGGCGAACTCCCCCAGAAAGATGCAAAGGATCGCCATACTGGGTCAAAGTAGTAAATTTTTTTTGAAAAAATCAATAGCGACAAAGTTGAATTATTTAATTTTGATATCAATTGTCGAGAAATATCATTCCTATACCTTTTAGATGGTCACGAAAGCAGTCATACCTACCCAAACACGTACAATTTCCTTACTCCATGTAAAATAGTTTATATTTTTTGGTTTAAAACCAGCCATACTCACTGCAATCTCCTCACAGAGAAGCCTACTGCTTGAAAAGAGTTTGCGAGCGACCTCAAATTTGTACAATGTTATGTTAATTTTACGAATTCCAGTAATGTACAACTTCCAAGAAAACACATTAGTGACTCTCTAAGAACTTTCACACAGACGTTTCACGAGGGAAGGGAGGGGGATGACATTTCCTTATTGAAGGAAGGATATATAGTGTGTAGCAAATTAATGGAATGGGAGATATTGAGTATCTCAGTTTCTCAGCTCTATTAGATTCTGTTAAAAATTAAATTATTTTGAATAGTAGTAACGTTATTCCAGTTATCAACTAACAATGTCAATGACCCTATTGGGACACACATTAGTAATAATTCGATTGTTATTAGTATAAAAATCGTATTTAGAGATAAGATAATATTTTGTAGATAATATTCTATATGCAAATTAAATGACAGTATGATGTAGAGACAGTAATAAGCCCATGGAACAAATCTTTGAGAGACACGAGTTCAAGACACATTACCATTTCTATCATTTTATGGTACTTTTTTTATGAACGATTTTATCCACAATAAATTCCATCTAGAAGTTGCCAAATCATCATCTTTAAAGCAATTTAAATAGACATCTTTTAAAACTTTTATTGGATCTTTCCAAAAGTAATTATAAAAACCGATTAATAATAGTTGTGCCATTTTTTTTAGGAGTTATTATTTATGAATGTTTTGACCTTCTTACCCTTAAGTGATCTAAGAAGTATTCAATTAAGTCACTATTAATGACGAATGTAGTTAGAGGAGTTCCAAAGATGATCCATCAGATAGGATAATATCTATTGATAATTGATTTAACAATACCTCTCTGAAGGTTCTACTACCCTGTATATCTGGAATAAAATGGTATATTTATTAATCTAAAACCATTAACATTTATCTGATTTAACAGAGGAACAATTTTACTTGAAAAATAAACTCTATTATCTATATGCATTTTTTTAGAAAATTTGGTCAAAAACTTTCTTAAATATCCTGTCTATAAAAGTAGATAAATAGTCACACAATTCTTGAAATTGATAATTGTATTCTTGGATGATATCAATATTCTTATTACCGGAGTTTTAATTTCTTTTTCAAAATCTATATCAAATTTAACATCTATAATCTCAGTTGTACAACCATTGCAAGTTAGCACAGCAATATTAAGTATGTTTTTGAAATGTTATTCTTTTTAAATCAACTATTCTTGTTATATTAATTAATAAAACCAATTGAAAATGTATTATACAATCTCTTCCGCCAGATGTAATTCCAGTTAAGTCTTGTTTGTTGATTGTTTCATATGAGTAGAAACTGTAGGTAAATGATTTATTATAGATGTATTTCTTTCTATGACGCTGAAGAGCTAGCGGTCACATCCGAAACACCAGGGATGAATAGTAGTGCAGGGCCCCCGATTATAAAAAATAGATTTTACAATGTATTTTTAT